ATATGAAAAAAAAACATTTTATAAAAAAATTAGAAAAATAAGGAAAAAAATATTAAAAAAAACAAAACAATACTAAACAAGTTTAAAAATAAATAAAATTACAATATTGCAAGTTACAATAACAAAAAAATACAAAAAGGTTACAGCTTTGTATGCGGTTTTAAGCTCAGCAACATAAATGTCATTCAAGTGTATGCTGCTTGAGTATCAAAATACATACATAAATATGTAAGTACATATGTAAATATCATTAAAAATTGAATAAAGCCCTGCTGTCTGTTAAAAATCGCCGTGTGCATTCAAGTGCAACAACTTCAAGTGTCCAACAAAGAAAAAACACTCGAATCTCGAACGCAGCGTATTGGAAACGGAAGAAAATCAAAGATTGCTACATTTACATGCGGATGACTGCTTTAATTGGCTTAACAAGCGCGGTTTCGGAGCATTTATGCTGGTCGCACAACAAACAAATAGCATTTTGAATAATTGAGAACGTTATATGTAGCAACAAATTGTGAAAAAAAAAATAAAAATTATGCGTTGACAAAAATCTCCAAACGAAATACATGTAGAAGCAACAAGCTGAAATTGATTTTTATAAAGGCACCAGCAAGTTATCACAAAAATCAACAATCGAAGAAGTAGCGAATGCAAATGCATAATTCAAATAACTCGCATGCGACAGAGAGACACACACGCCTCAAAATTACAGAATTTGTAGATGTCAATTATAGAAAGCAAAAAAAACAAAATCAACCAGAAATGCTAAACTATTGACGCCGCCTGCAAATGCAAAGTGACATTAATTAATCCATGCATTTAAGCAGTGGCTGCTGGAACGTTGCAAAGTGTGTGCGCAGGCGCACAATAAAAGTGATTTTCACTACAAAAGGGCAGCGAATGCACACGTTCGATGTAAAATAAAAGGTGCATCAATAATTTACAGCCGCTTGCAAACAAAATGTGCACAGCTGTTTACAATTTCAACGAATTTCCCCCCGATGAGCAAATGTACCAAAGCGCATAGGGTAAGGTAGCGGCAATACCATATGTAATATATGTTGATGATGTGTCGGAGGTTAGCGGATGGGCTGGTTTTTCCAAAGCACGCACATGTAAAACAAAAAGAATTTTCGGAATGCAGGAAAATGTTGAAACACATGTGCATATCGACATGAAAATGTTGTAAAAATACATATAATATAATGGTGACAGCATTGAGCATCGCTTGTAAGCATAATAGCGTGGCCTACGTTTAAACTTGCCGGTGGTGGTGGCAGCATCGCATGTAAACATCACCCTCATCAGCAGGCAGCGCTTACGATGTAGGGTGGGTTTTCATGCTTTGGAAAACTGCGATTACACACGTTCATATGTAAGCATGTGTGTTGGTACTATATTACAATAATCGCTTGATCACTGCATACAAAAGCGCACAGCTTTGTGCTGTCTGCACAGCTGCGTCTCGCTGGACTMACCACCAAGCCCAGTGATGTGCGTTCTTGTCTGTGCGGTGGTGTGTATTATTTGAATCACTTGTGCAGCGAAAATATATGTGTACTTGTAACAGCAGTAATGTGACGATCGATATGAACCCTTTTGTATAGTTGATGATTTTTGAGGTTAGGGTACAGTGTGTTGCAAACAGTTAAATTTAAACAGATTTTTTTTATTACAGTTGGCAGAAGCGGGTTTTGTTACAAAAATTTAGTGTAAACTTGTGAAACTAAATTTTTATTGCAATTTAATACAAGAACTCAGTTTTTATTGGTTGGTATTTTGTGTGGCAGCTATATGCTATAGTGGTCCGATCTGAACGATGTGTATGGAGATTATCTAGCTTTTTCGAATAATATTCCATGCTAAATTTCCTGAAGATATCTTGTCAAATAAAAAAGTTTTCCATACAAGAACTAAATTACGATCGTTCAGTTTGGTAGCTATATGCTATTGTGGTCCGATCTGAACAATTTGTGCGGAGATTGTAACAATGCCTTGGACGAGATTTGATGTCAAGTTTCGTGAACATATCTTGTCAAATAAAAAAAGTTTTGCATACAAGAACTAAATTTTGATCGTTCAGTTTGTATGGCAGCTATATGCTATTGTGGTCCGATATAATCTGTTCGAACAAATGAGCAGCTTTTTCGGAAGATAACCATGTGTGCTAAATTGCAGCTCGAAATCTCAAAAACTGAACGATTCGTTCGGTTTCATAGAGATAGAGGGCCACGTCTAAAAAAAATCGAGTAAGAACGACACACTAACATAACAAAATGATACCGCTTTCGACACACTGTGCTTTTTAAATATAATATGACCCTTGCATAATAATATTTTTTACTTGCTATGCATTTTAAGCGCACTAGCTTTGCCGGCTAACAATAATGGAACAAAGTGCAGCAACACTATAATTATCTGATTGTTACAGCGACTACTTTCAGTTGATGCCAGTTCGATGGGGTGTCAGATTTTTTTTTACAAACTGTTAAAAACACTTTCTGTATATTTTTTAGCTGGAAGCTCTTTGCTTTGATGGACAATACTTTTTACATTCTTCTGAGGTTTTTTTTTTTTTGTTGGTTTACTGATTTTGCTTTACTTTAACCGGAAATGATTTGAAATCGTCGAAATTACATATCCTGCCAACATTGATGACTGTGATACGCCTACACAGCCGCTTTGCCGCTGATACAAAAGGCACAACGCAATGTATGTCAATTACGTAACCTTCCCATCGGAAGTTTGTCGATCGATATACCATTTAGGAAATCACAAAAAAAATAGAAACCACAAAGGCTAAATAAAAACGTGAGCAGTGCTGCAATCAGACTTTAATTAGTATTTTAAGGTTAGGTTTTACGTTTCAGCTTGCTAATGTAGGAAGAAGTATAAACAAAAATCATGCTAGGGTAGGTTTGTAGAAAATGCTTGGAGAACGCCTACAAACATATTCGAATAAAAAGCTGACATCACAAATGACCGAAAGACCGTTAAAAGCCATAAAACCATAACGAAATTCACATAATCAAGGTCTGCTGCACACAGCCATACATACATACGAGCATGTTAATATGTAAATTCGATTTCGTGAATAATTATTGCGTGAAATATTGGTTTCCTGTATTTATAACGAACATTTTGGAAAACACACACACACATACACATCATACTGCTGATACAAAATAAAATTTAAAAAATATAATATGCATTTTCACGGCGAAAAAAGCCATGCTCAATCAAGCGCTACAAGAAGGTAGAGTCGTAAAAAAGAAATTCTCACGCCAACAAACAAAATTTGCGGCCGGTGGTGAAATTCAGCAATTTCTGTGTTATATTGAGCAACTCAATATTAATATAACAGTTTATGCTAAGCAACTAGTGCATTACTTGATATTATCAAATGCAAGTTCGAACATTTTCCCACACAGCAAACGCTAATAAAGGAAGTGGAACACAATTACACGCCTGAATGAGCAGCGCAAAGGAAACACAACCGTGTACGTATTGCACGAAGTCCACGAAAGAAATTGCTGTCACTAGTTAATAACTACTTTTTTACAAAAAAGATTATTACTTTACTGATTAGCGAATTTCTATAGCAAGTAAATGGAATAAAGTGATTATGCTTACCTGTAATTTTCGGTTGACGCTTGCGCAATGGCGATTTTCCAGCAGCATTGCCTACATGCGTACGCTTATTGCTGCCGCAATGTTCGGTGCTGGGTACTTTGAACACCAACGACTCATCCTGTGAGTCATAATCGCCGCAGGAATCTGTATCGGTCGATGTTGATGTGTTCATCATGTAATTTTCACGTTCGGCTCGTTCGTCCATTAATAAATCGGCATTTGACGGCACAACCGAGGCAGGACGTACATGTGCAGCACGCGTCAGCGTATAGACTTCGGGTGCGCGATTGGATTCCTGATAGGAAATACGCTCCCAAACGAATTGTGTATTTGTGGTGAGTGGGGAGCCGTTGCGGAAGTCGAAACCCCATTTTTTTATAGCACGATCTTGTTGTTTGTCTAATTCCTCGGCGAAGGTTCTGTGGAGAAGGATAGGATAGAAGAAAGATATTTTTTGATAAATTTTTTATAATATGTTTTTCTATATTTTTGTTTTTAATTAATGATTTTTAAGCTAGAACTTTATTGAAAAAGATCAAATAAGGTAAGGCGGTTTATTAATTTAAAATATAAATATGAACTTAACTATTCGTTAACAAATGAAAAAATAAGTATATAATATCAGAAGTATACAGATCATAAACATATATTTTTTTTATTTTGAATCTATCAAAATCAATATAAAGATACTTTTAAACCCATTTATGCTATAGGAAATGTAACTATGAAGGGTATTCAAACTTTCTGCGGTTAACATTTTTGTTTATACATTTTATTTACAACAATCTAACAACCTTCAAAAATTAAAAAAAAAAATAAATAAAAATTAAAAAAAGCAATAAAAGCCTATAAAAATTCAAAAAATATATGTATGTATGTATTACACAAGCTTTTCCTGCTACATTTTAGGGTTATGGATATTCTGGATGTTGTAAACCACTGAATATTTTAAACTGTTCCAATAAATAAGAGCATATTAACAAGCTATAGAGCTACATTATATTTAGTATTTTATATTTAGTCTTTGCACTTACTTTTGTGTTTCCACCGGGTTGGCTGGTCCAAAGAGATCACGCTTAATGCGGTTCAACTGGCGGTTACAGGTCATATTTCGTCCCATTGCACTCGGACTAGCGCGCAGCTTACAGAATTCGGTTAAAATTACTGGATTTATTACACGTGCAGCAGTCATCACTTATAATACTTGTTAAAATATTGCTTAACAAACAGTAAATGTCACAGAAATATAATTACTAGCGCTACCGAATGTCTTTCGCAAACACTTCCTTTGCGTATTGCTATGCAATTGTTTTATTATTATGTTTTTTGGCAACAAAATGCTTGCAACAACACTTAACCTTGAAATCAGCGTTTATTTTTTGTGACTTTTTTTATATTTTGCTTAATTATGCAAAGCAATACAAAGTAAAATTCAATAATTTCGACAAATTGCCAATGACGTTGTTTTATTCAACTGAGTGTTTTTCAGCAATTCCCTCAACCACGTTGTGTTGTTGCTGCAAGTTTTCAGTCTCCAATGCCAAAATACTTGGTACTTGTCAAAAGTTTTCGCGCCAAAACTTGTTGATTTCCCCACTTTTGTTTTTTATACGATGATTCTTCCACACTATTACACTGCCCAATCGGTGCGAATCACTTAGGGGTACAGTTTCGTTGATCAACCAGCTCCACCTAACTTGCACCCACTGCTATGCACTGTAGCTGTTGTAGCAAGTTTTATTAATAGTTTTTATTTATTTTCAACAATTTATTGTCACTCCATAAGGCTTTTTAAGAAAATATTACATTAAAATATTTTCCCGAGAAGTCGCCCCCACTTACAGGTCGACAACAGTAAGCACAATAAATCTATAGCTCCACTACAATATGTCTCTTTATTTGCTCTTATGTGCTTGCGCTGCTCTCACGAAGCAACAACACAAAATGTCAAAAGTTTACTCGTTGCTTTTGTGCTTTTTATGCCACTATAGGACACAAGTTTTTCCAAGCACTTTAAACAGTATTTTTCACAAATTTTCTTCCAAATAGTATTGAAAAACACTAATTTATATATTCATTTGTATATTTATAAAGTACTTCGAATATTTTCAATACGAGTACGTACGTAATTTAATACAAAACTCAATGCACAAATGCTATACGTTTCCACATTTGTTATTTGTAAACGAATGACTTGTACTCGCTGAACGCTCTCGACGTACTGACGTTTGCTTTCAACTTCGAATTTTTATTTTGCCATCGCTCGACGTAAAATTATTTGTACAATTGCCAGCAAGAAGAGACAACCCAAAATTATAAATACAAAAACTCCACGCAATAGGTACATCGGTATACACGGTGGTGGTAGTTTTCTCTGCATACGGCCATTTACTTACACAAAGCAAATACACACACGAACTAATGTTAACAAATGGGAATGTTACAGAGTGCTGCAAACGGGTGGCAGCGAACGATTTGAAAATTCGAAATGTTATTTGATAACAGCAGCATTCACAATGGTCGCTTGACTGTTGGTCGACGCTGCCTGTAAGACAGGGTGTGCTATGTTATGAAAAAGTCTGTATTGCTTGCGCGAGTTCCGAGTGTAACAGTGATGCACTGCTTAACAGTAGTTGCACCTTTTTTAATAGACTCACACACACATATGCACTCACATAATCGCGTTTACTTTCGATTGAAACTTTATTGTTTACTGCTTATCGTCCTACTGCACGCATATGCGTATTTGCTTTGCACTCGTACGTAAATACACACACACACACACAGACGTTTTCGTCTTTGCCCCTACACTACGATCACTGTAGATTTTGATTTCTTTGGCTGCTCGTAAGTGCATTGGCTGCTGTTTTATTAAATAATGTACTTACGTATGTATGCGTACATATACATATAAATATAGAAACATATGCATATGTACATATACATATGTATGTATGTATATAAGATATTTTTTTGTTCTTTCTTAAACTTTGGTTTTGTCGTATTTAATTTATAGTTTAGTCTCGTAGGTTTGTATTTGTTGTACTTACATTTTTGTTTTACTCGTTTCTTTCGTCTTGATTTTTATTTTGTCCATGCTGTACCCAACTGCATATTCACTGACTTTTTTCTTGACTTTTGTACTGGTTTTATCTGTTTTTTTATAATGTTTGCCTTTTGGTTTCTTATTTTGAGTTCTATTCTTCTTTGAACAGCACTTTGTATGGCGTATTCGTATTGGATTTTGCTCTCTCGTTTCTTTATTTATTTTTTGAAGATTTCACTTTTTTATTACAACACCAGCAAATGCATTGTGTTGGTGTACCAAATGTAATATGTATTTTTAGAAGTTTGCCTAAAAGGTAATTGGGAAAACATTTGTGGGGTCATATAGTTGATTGTCGGGTCGTTAGGTGAATAGATAACGCATAAGTGGTGTTAAAAATATGACTGCGTAGATATTCTAATGGAGTTTTTTGTTTCTAAATATATTTATAACTTTTTTTATATGAATTTTCGAAGAATGTTCACAAATATATTCACATTTGATATAAAGCAAAATTTTTTTACAGTTCTCAAGCGGATTAACACCTTAGACTCTCTTTAGAAGTTTTCTAAAATTTTAGAAGTGTACTAGTCTCAATATGTGATCTTTAAAAATCTCATTACGCCCTCACTATAAGTTTTTTAGGTTAGGATCTGAAAAGTTTGCTGATAATTTGATTTGCCTGAAAATCCACGATTTTTCCACCCCAGCTTACCAATGTCTCTTAAGTTGGAGCATTGGGAGCTCTATTGGAATACGTCGCGTCTCATCCGCCTGAAGGCCGGGCATTCTTATAGATAATGTTCCAGCGTCTCATCATCCTACGCAAATATTATGAGTTCTGCTTGTATTTCCTCTAACCATTAGTTCAAATAACTCTTGAAGACTTAGGAGAATTGTGTCGCCCCCTCTTTCCGAGCTAGCCAGCTTGAATAACCCTACAATATTACTAAGTTACCTTTCGACTAGAAGTAGACACTTTTTAGCTTGTCCACCATCAACACTACCCCAAAAGAATTTTGTGTGTGTGTGCCTCGTATTGCTTGTCTTCCAAAACCTGAGGTGTTCCGCTAGGGTCCGTTGCTTTAAACAACCTTTGAGGGAGCTGATTAGCCTGGGCAGCTTAAGGGAATTATGTCACCTCTGCGAATGCCAGCCATCTTGTCGGGGTGCAGGGGCGTAAGCTGAAAGGCATTCACAGCAACTCCGAACCGGCATAAACGGTGCTGCTTGGCACCACTCCTGGTGGGTGTTGGAAGCTGCATGCGTGTGGCAACAAGAGCTTCATCCATCTAATTCAGGGTTTTATATGACTCCCGTGCCCATTGGATGATTTGCATCCAGGAGGTTAATTTGACTGCCTTCCCGACACCGGGTCATATAGGGAAGTAACGGTGGCCTTACCGCGTCATGGGACTCTGGCGCGGAGTACCTTTTCATTCCCCTACAACAACGTAGACAGTTCATCACGTTGAACCAAGGGTTGTAAGAAAAGGATGACAGAAAACTAAACAATAACTAATCAAAACGTAAACCCAGGCAACGGACACAAGAAAAGACTAAGGACGAAGACATGGACATCAAGTTAAGCTTCCTGGATGAAATTTTGCCAGAGAAGCGGACGCTGTTTGAGGAGCATGCCAATTAGAACGATGATGACATGCTCTCAAGGCGAAGTCGACTGCGGCTGCTGCGAACGTAGCGAGCACTACCAAGGCTCACATGGAAAGATGCTGCGTATCCAGATTCTCTGAACACCTCTTCCATGAGAAGATCTTGGAGCACGGTAAGCTCCTCCGACTATAACGTCTGCGCTGGGTACATAAGAGGCAGACAACAGCCATTTGGATGCCTTTAAGAGCACCCACATACCAACGACAGCCTCCTCCACCCGGGGGGTATTTGGTGCGGAGAGTTGGTCACTGCTGCCCCTCTGCCTTTTAGAGCTGGGAGGCTTCTGTGGTGTAATTTGCTCAATCTTCCGTTTTGTGGTTTGGGTTTGGGTAGTCGAGGACAATGCCTTTTCGCTAACTCGACTCGCGATCGAGTTTGTGTTAACCGGGCAGCGTTTCCGAGCCCGGACTCGCTCGCGAACGGACGCGGATTTGCTACCTAAACGCTCCTTCGCTGCTAGGGAACCCCCCACCACTTCTCCTGACCCTGTATCGCTTATCTATATGTCGCCGTAGAGCTTATAAAGTTAGTGGTTTCACCTTCCTCGATACCGATTCGCACCAAATGTAATTCCACCACAAATATTCGCGACTGAAAAGGTTATTTACCTTTGATTGCCAAAAAATTAAGCGCTCCGTTGTTGCAGGCAGCAATTTTACAGCTAATCAACACTGACAATCTGCAATATCACAGCTAAGATCACCTAGACAGCGCTAATCCGTTAAATTTTGTGTCTAAATTAGCAACGAAATCTCTTCAAAGCCAACCGAAACCCTTCTCCATACCTTATTTCGTTTTTCTTGCTCATATTTTTACTAATTAAAAGCAATTTCACAAAATATTTGTGCAAGACTTGTGCACAAACAAACAGAAATCATTAATCCCGAGACATAAATATACAAAAAATGAAGATTAAAAGTATAAAAAAAATGAAATGGCAGGGCAACCCCTTCGAGGGCTTGCTGCAAAGAGCACAGTGCGCTTCATAATTACGCTGACACTTCAGCGATCGGGTAAAATGCTACCAAATAGCAGGAAGCAGAAAGGAAAACACTTCCAGACACTTGAAGTCGCATCCGCTGCTTATGATTTTTTCACTTTCTCACTTTTTTTTTATTTTCTTTCGCGCCTTAAAGAAACGCTCAAGTGGCACAACCCCTTCGCGCTGCTAAAAACGATACATTTTTTCTTCCCAAAAAAAAAAAAAAGCGAAAACAAATTAAATTACACAAAGCAGTGTTTTCTTCATTAAGTAAAAGGATCACGTCTGTTTTGCCGCTTACTTTTTTTCTTAGCTCTCAAGCGGTACTTTTCAGGGTTGCTTTGCCCACTTATGTCACGCAGGATAAGCTAACCAGGATATGTGGCGAATGCAGTGGCAAAACAGCGAGCACAACAATGCGTTGACAATGACTGTGCCAATAAATAAAATAAAACAAAAAAAACAACAACAAAAGCAAAAAAATGTGTGTGCAAAAGTACGTAAAATATACGCAAAAGAAAAATATAAATAAAGTAAAAAAGGTAAAAATAATAATAATAAGAAAAGGTAAAAAAAAAAAATCATAAAAAAGTAAGCAAGCGAGGAAATGTGTGTAAAAGTGCTGAAGGCTTGGCCGAGGGTGTGTCTCATTGCGCAAATTATGTGGCATGTCCTTTGCGTGGTGTTCGGCCTTTGTGCGATCACGTGTGCTGATTACCGTATTGATCGTGCGTTCGCTAAGCGCCTACGGTTGGGTTTCAGCACAGCCTGGCATTTTGATTGCTGCGCTGGGGTGGCTGCAGCGCTGCACTTCTCACACATATCGTAAAGCAGAAATCCGTCGAGTTTTTTTGGTCTCCCAATTTTTTTCTGTATTTTTAGATATTTTTTATTTATTTAAAAATTTTTTTTTCTGTTTTTTATCTTTCCTTCCATTTTCGCCACCTTTAATTGCATTTAGGCTTTTGTAAGGCCACTTGATTGCTTTTGTTTGACTTTTGTCCTCGCCATGTTAAATGGTGTATTTAAATGCGACCCCGTTTTTCGGTAGAAATTTTCCCCGGCGTCTGCTCACAATTTTCCTTTTGGTTTTTTATAGCATTTTTCTTTATTTACTTGCCGTTTTTTGTTCTTCACTGCTTTTTATTGCGCTCGTTGCAGTCATTAAAATTTTTATGTTTTTGCACAATAATAAAGTTTAGCGCTTCTTTTTCGAAAATTTATTAACCAAATCTTTTGCTAAATTTATTTATGTATATTTTGGTTTTTTAAGAAATAAATTTATGCTTTTCTGCTTTTTATTTCACTAATGTTTTGATTTACAGCCAGAATTATCGTTGCGTTATGATCAATCTTCAATGATTGATGGCGTAAACTTAACCGTTAAAAGTTGTAAATCAAGATCGATAACACCCAACAAATAAGTAAGCATAAATAACGCAAATCTACCAGAATTACAAGATTAAAGTGTGACGGCATCGTAATGATCATAGCTACAGAGTTTCGGCTGTTGATTTCGACTTTTATCTGTGAGTATTGTAATATAACGGGTGATCCAAGTAGAGGTACTATTTCAATAGCCAGATTACGAGTGAGTCATGCCAAGCTGTCATGCTATATTTGCTCAGCATAGTTTGTTATTTCCTCATGTAAACGCCTGAACAATGTTATCAAATCGTACTTTATTACGAAAATTCAAATTCTGTGAAGAATGTGTTTCGC